GTGAAGCAACTGATTGGGAACATCATAAAATGCTAGCCCATTTCTAATTATTTATCTAATTATTGCTCCATTTTTATTTCAAGGAAGGAGGAAAGGTACATGTGGAATTTTTGATCAGATTCTGAAGTAATTTGATCCATAAATGGAGGAGGAAGCAAAGTATCTAGGGCTATAGATTCTTAAATTATTAATTAAAAATTTACAGAATAACAAAACAGAAGGACCTAGAACAGAGACAAACTCTGTAACAATTGAGAGATTCAACAGGTTCCTGACCAACCTAGCTGACAACTTTGTCATCCAAAACATAGAGGGAACTAGAGGGACAGCTATACTGGACTTAATTCCTATTAACAGAGAAGAAGTGATAGTGGGGGTTGAAGTTGCTGGAACTTTAGGGAAAAGTGACATCACTTTTGTCCAAACATAGGAGCACAACATGAATTCTATTTCTCTGCTCTGAGAATATCTAGGAAAGTGGGCTGTATATATCATTCTGATAAATTCTATAAATCTCTTTCCACAGCTTTTGAATGCCAGAACCTGGATAGCTCCCAAAAAATAAATGCAATGTATTTTGTTGTCAAAAGTACCAAGTCCATGAGTTCAAGTCTCAGGAGGGAGTGTAACATCTGGCTATGTATTTTTGATGATTTCTAATAAGGATAGTATTGGTTGCATAGTCCGTTCATTCTACCATATATTTTATGCCATTCATTCATTCATGTGTGCATATATGCATGTATGTATAGCAAAAGTATGGAAGTGGTTAGCTTCTGTGATGATTTTTCAATTTCCCAGTCAAACTAAAACAGCTGGGATTTTCTGATCTCCCAGATTGACTGTTTAGCTTTTTTGATGAGCTAATGTTGGTAGGTGCTACCCTCTGCTGTAGGGATAGTGCAATTTCTCCTATAATGTTGATATATATGTTCATCCTGTGCATCTGTTTAAAAACACATAAAAGACTTATTATGTCTATGTACATTACAAAAATGCCTCTGTGTGTGTGTGTGTGTGTGCGTGTGTGTGTGTGTCTGTGTGTGCTTGGTCACACTTCTTTCACAAAATATATTGTAGACCTTGACTAAGACTCTCATGCTAATAAATGTATTTTGCTCCCTATGAAATTGTGTATTACAACACATCATGGTTTTTTAAAATGTGCAAAGATCTTCCTCGCAGATATATTTACAGAATAGCATATTGCAACGATGGAAACTTTGCTTATTATACTAGTAAATAAACAATAAATGAAAAGGAGAAATGGCATGGCTTTTTCAGTCTAAGAAGGCTATATCACTATTTGCTTTTTCCCATTCCTTTCCTGTCCCTCTGTGAATTGCAAAATAGTGCATTGCTAATCTTTATGTGGAATTTATAATTTATACAAAAGTGATGCAACAAAGTTCAAGAAAACAAGTATTAAATGTACACTCTCACATTTGTTGAGAAGTCAATTAATTTCCCCAGATTGTGTATAATCCTTAGAACTGGGATATATAGAATAGTTCTAATTCTGATATTGTATTTGAGACTGCTGTTTACAGTGAAAGAGATGATCATGTGGCTGAACTGCAAATAAAGAGATATTCATGACATTTGAAAACAAATTGGAAAGATCACACATTCCAAAATTATAAGAAGGAAGGAAGGAAGG